ATCTCTTATTCTTTACCAAATTTTACCTATATATTATATAACTCAAATTTAGGATCTATGACCTCTATTAAAAAGCAATTACTATAGAACTATTTAGATTGTTGACTTTCACATTTATATTTTTAGTGCATATTTTGGTAAATAGTTAAATAATCTTTGTTGGAAGTGGCAATATATAGTTGATCCATAAACCACCTCAAGGTGTTACTATATGTGTAAGTAATGTTTGTAAATTGTGATAAATCTCAACTATTTATAATGAAGAAATGAATTGTCAAGATTTTGTATAAATAATGTGTATAAAAGTTGTGTGTAAATAAATCTTGACATATAATGTGTTAGGATCTAAAAATTATGCGTAGAAATTTATAAATTAAAATCTACGTACATATAACTCTTAGTAAAAGTGCTTGCACAAAAGATAACACCTTTACCTTTCCCCCTTCCAATAGGTTGGGAAGGATATGTCACTCATAACTCCAAGAATATAGCTAGCATGATTAAATTCAAACACTAATAGAATAACACAAAATTATAGGCAAAGAGAGCTCTTCATTGATTCTCCTAAAAAGGAATATATGAGTTTTACGTTTTGTACATAGGCACAACAGCTTCAACTGTACTACTGTTTGAGATTACAAAATAGAGAAATATAGAAAGAGAAGGAGAGCAAGGTATGGGTAAGGAAATATATAATTGATAGAAACGTAGAAAGCACTGAAGAAAAGGAGGCATTGAGAAATGTATAAGGTGAATGATGAAATAGATGTATAAAATTCATGAAATTGTAAAATAATGTTGAAAAAAATATAGTAGAATAAAAGGTTGTTAAGCAAGAGATATGGAAAAGGGCACATGCATGATGTAAACCATGATGAATCAAATTCATTAAAATAATATTGCGTAATTAACATAATGTTGAAAAAGAATTAGAGAATAAGAGGTGTTTAATAATGAGACATTGAAAGGGATATGATCATAATGCAAGAGAAGGAAAAAGAAAAATAACCCCCTGTAGAGAAAGATAGGAAATGGAAGGATCCCTTTCCCTTCCCTCATTTAGTTAAACTAAAATATAAGAAAATTTTAAGCAAAATAAGGGAAACGTCTCCTCTCTCCTCCCCTCCCCTCTAATTTTTTATTAACCAAATAGAGAAATTTCTCCTTGTTCCTCCATTCTCCCCAACTCCCCTAAAGCCAAACAAGTTATAAGGGAGGAGATATGGCATGACCAGACAAGGAGAAAGAAAGAATAAAACCAAACATATTACTAATATTAAGGTGGACATGATGTGTGTGCTATTTATGTAATAAAAGAACGTGAGAGAAGAAGAAGTTGAGAGATAGAGTCATAAATAAATTTAATGAGAGATGTCATTCAAAGGTAAATGGTAAAATATTAAAGAATAATGGTAAGAAGTAGTGCCTTTAATTTGACTTAAAACATTTTTAATACAAAGAAACAAAAATAACCAAGTAGATGGAGAAAGAAAATCACATGAAAATGTAATAAGAATAATGCCAAAAAAATATACAAAGAATAAGGGGTCGTTAAATATATATATGTATATATATATGGAAAGATACTAGCACCAAGTGACATATATGCAAACAAATAATGTAAGCATGAAATAAATATACATGGATGTGGGACATATGCAATCATTATGTAAGAAAGGGAGGAAAATAAAGTAATTAGTGAATAGATAATGGAGAGATTGGAATGAGAGAGAAAGAATAACAAATGAATTACTAAAATTAATAACAGGGAAAGAGATATGTGTCTACATTAAATTTAACATATTTTTTTTATCGTTACAAAGTTATTAACAGTAATAAGAGTTTAAAAAAAAATCAAATCTTTTAAATTTCCAAACTTCCCCACCTTACTATCAATCTTTTTCTTTTTTTCTTCAAATCCATAAGCAAATCTCAATGGCATATGATCCAACTAAAAAGTTGTTGATGAGTGAGAAGATGATGTTAATTTTTTTTTAATCAACCAGAAGATGATTTAACCTTTTTTTTTTAATATATATAAGCTAGAAGATAATGTTAACTAAATAGTTACCTTTCTTTTTTGCAAATTTTTTTATTCCTACAAGCTTAATAATGAAATTCCATGACCTTAATAATAATAGATAGTGGAGAGATTGGAATGAGAGAGAAAGAATAAGAAATGAATTACCAAAATTAAGAAAAGTGAAAGAGATAGGTGGCGACATTAAACCTAGTATATTTTTTTGTATCATTACATAGTTATTGGTAGCAATAAGAGTTACTACATTTTGCATCTACAGTTACAAATTCTTGGCTACAGTATGTATTATCATAGTTAATATATACATATAACCATGATAATTATATTCCATAACTAACTGTGTTTTCTTCTGCAACGTATCTAAAACTTTCGAAACCAATAGTTAATTGTTGTTATAATAAAATACTTTTATGGCAAAATGTCTTTTAACTACAAATTAATAGCCATGACTATTATATTATAGCTAATTTAATTGCTTAGCCATAACTATTAGAAGTCCGTAGCAATAGTAAATTGATCTTAGCCATAAAATTCTTTAATTATAGCTAATTTAGTTGTTTAGCCAAATGTACTAGAATTCTATAGTAATAATAAATTGATCATAGCCATAAAACTATTATATTATAGTTAATTTAGTTATTTAGACATATGTATTTGAAGTCTATAGTTATAATAAATTTATTATGACCATAAAATTATTATATTATACCTAACTTAGTTGTAGCCATAAATTTCAAGTTTTATAATTAATTTCATATGATAAGTGCAAACCAATATGAGATGAAATTGAAGCTGGGTAATCAATATTGAAGCAAACAAATCAAGGCAAGAAGCACATTATGTTGTTACTTAGTAGGAAAAAGCGAAAAAGAAGGAATCAATTGTTTGATTGAAAAGAAAGTCTATTTTCTATATACAAACATGGAAGTATGGACAATTTATTGAATAAAATATATACATTTTACAAAACTACACTTAAGAATGTCACCTAATATTCACTTTATCCCTTTTCTTCCTATAAATCTACACATTCTTTATGGTCACATTTACACCACAACTTGTATAGGTTGTAGCATTTAATTTATAACCCAATTGATAATGTTAATAATAAAGTCATAGTAAATAAAAGGCAATAAGTTCAAGACAAACAAGCCATATTTCAAACTCTAATTACACAAGTAAATCGATAACAATTTGGAAATGGATTCTTGCTAATATGAATACTTAAAAATAGAAATAGAAGTTAAGTCTTTAAATTTCTCTACTTAAGACAAATCAAAAGGTAAAAGAAACTTTCAAATATCATCAAATGAAACTTACCAATGAGTAGCACCTATTACATCCAATTGGTTGAAAATCTATATTTGTAAGTCTTTATCTGTGTCATTATCATCATTAGATTTAGTTATAACTCAACATTATCATCATCAATCACAGTAGAACCTTCAATAATGGAACTTATATCAACTGTTTGTAAATTTACCAAGTCATCATTGTCATTTAATGTGTTAAGAGTATCAGGTAAGCACAACATCTTTTGTTGAAAAGCATTCTCATCTACTTGAAGAGTATTAGTATTTAGTACCTCCTTTAATGGCAAATTATAAGTTTGAGACTGATTTTTTAGTGTTATAAGCTAATTATGATTCAATCCATCTTTAACATAATACACTTATTCCATTTGAGAGGCAAGCACAAGTGGCTCATCTTTGTTTAACTTGCAAATGGTATTAACTCTAATAAAGCCATATTTATCTATTTTCACTCCCTTCCCAAAGTTATCAATATCCAACCAATCACATTTGAACATGGCTATTCATTTTCCCCCCAAATACTGGAGTTCTATGATTTCATTAAAGATTCCATACTAGTCTATATTCTTTGTGCCCAAACCCCCTTTAATAAATACCACTATTTTGGCCCTTTTTTTTTGTATGAAATCTAAATCCATTTACCGTATATCCAATAAATCATTGCACCCTTGGTAAAGGACCTGTAGCTAAAGAAACAATTTCTTCATTTACTTGTGCATTTTTTTCTTTGTATAATTGTATAACCCATTTATGCATAAGGAAAAGTATCAATTAGAAATTTTATATTAATCACTAAAACATATTTAAATAACTAGATAATGAAACTATGCACTGAGATCCAAACTTTGATTTTGATGTTTATATTATCTACAAAATAAACAATATTTATAAATAATAAATTCAAAAATAATAAAAGAAAAAAAAGATAACCTAAATGGAAAAATACATAATCTATCAAACTTTCTTTATAATTTATCAAGGCATAATGATGAGCTTGATTTCTTTCACGATTTGAAAGAGTCCCACATTAATCTTTTGATAAAGAATAACCAATTTGTGCAAATCCAAATAACCCTTTGTTTGAGTCAAGAAAGATGCCATCAAAGTTTTTTTCAGATTGATTACACCTAGTCTCAATATCACCTAAATATCTGGAGCAAAAAATTAGACATTTTTCCACAATGTATCCCTCAACATTAGAACCATCTAATCGACTTTTATTATAAACATAGTATTTTAACTTGCATAAGAACCTTTCAAAGATAAACATATACATCATTCTCAAATAGAGAACTTGTATTCTAAATCAAATTATATTATACGTAAACAAAATTTTAGTTATTACTTTTCAAAAGAGGGGAAAAAGTCTTATCTATTGGAAATTATTGTTAATACTTCTAACTATTACTCATTAATACACAACATTTTCACTTTTTCCTCTCAAAACACAATAAAGTGAATCGGGTTTTTAATTAGATTAAATAACA